TGCTTCCAGTTTTGGGCTCCACAATTCAAAAAGGATGTGGAGAAGCTTGAGAGAGTCTAGAGAAGAGCCATGCGCATGATCAGAGGTCAGGGAAGCAGACCCTACGATGACAGGCTGAGAGCCCTGGGGCTCTTTAGCCTGGAAAAGCGCAGGCTCAGGGGTGATCTGATGGCCACCTATAAGTTTATCAGGGGTGACCACCAGCATCTGGGGGAACGTTTGTTCACCAGAGCGCCCCAAGGGATGACGACTAGGTCGAACGGTCATAAACTACTACAAGACCGTTTCAGGCTGGACATAAGGAAGAATTTCTTTACTGTCCGAGCCCCCAAGGTCTGGAACAGCCTGCCACCGGGGGTGGTTCAAGCGCCTACATTGAACGCCTTCAAGAGCAAACTGGATGCTTATCTTGCTGGGATCCTATGACCCCAGCTGACTTCCTGCCCTTTGGGCAGGGGGCTGGACTCGATGATCTTCCGAGGTCCCTTCCAGCCCTAATGTCTATGAAATCTACTGCGCATGTACTGGCTGTGGGGGATGCGCAGTTCATAAGCCTCTGAACAGCTGTGCCATGAAATTTTGCTGCAGCAGTGAACTACAATGAGCTCATTAAGTATGTGGATGCGGAATGCCTTAACAGGTGTGCTGTAGAAAAATGTTATTAATGTTATGTGTGCCTTGGTTTGGAAAAGATTGGGAAATGCTGATCTAGAGGACTCTCGAAGTGCACCATGCAGTCAAGCTCTGCATGAAGTTCTGCAGTGCTGTTAATGATTTCTGCTCTGTTAGTTGCTACATTCCTATCTGTGTGAAGAGCAGGGTGCAAGCCAAGTACTGAGGAGTCCATCAAGTGATGTTCAATCCCGCCCCACTTCTGTCTGCTGTAAGACACAACCCTCGTTGTCTGTGGAGGGAGCAGTAGTCTGACCTTGACCTGCAGGAGGGTTGCTACGTAAGGCTTTTGAGGAAAGTGGAGAAAGGAATGGGCTTTATTTGCTTCTGCAAGAAGCTCCAAGCATTGGCAGTCTTCTAAGGCAAGTGTTTTGCCATTCAGGGTGAAGAAACAGCCAACCAGATCAAACCATAGTTAGTTGCCTTTGCAGGTGATGCGTAAAATAGCTTTACATAACTAAATATTCACAGGAGTCTACGAAGAGTCATATACTTGTCCTGCCCTGTGGAGCTTGCAGTCTAAGGCAGTGATTCTGTAGGAATTTGCACACATGCTTAACTTTTTATACAATGAGTAGTCCCATTTAAGTCAATTGCTGTGCTTGCTTTCTGTAAAGTTCAGCAGATTGGTGTTTGTCCAGATAATTTCTCTTTGCAGGATTTTTATTGAAAATGCATTTTTGGGGTGAAAGTCCACTGTGCTTTGAACACCACCTACAGAAAATAACTGGAATTGTAAGGAATCCACAAATGACTTTAAAGATTTAAATTGATCTGAAATGTAACTACCTTATCCAGAAACATTTCTAGATCCTCTTAATTAACTTGAAACATAACTTATCTGAAGATAGTTGTATGTAACCAAGAAACAATGTAAAATTCAAACAGGCTTCCTGTTTGAAGACTACTGTAATAACAGTTGTCAGAACAGGAAGCGAGTCTCACTCCCCTGAAACCTGTGTTTTTAATCTCTGGGTTGCTATTCTTTTTCTGGCACTACATTTTCAACATCTGCTTGCTTGTTTTTAAGAAAATTTGGTTATTTTAATCCTTTTGTTTTGTTTTTTTAACTTGTCTGTGAGGCTAGTAGTGACGTGTTTCAGTGTAATGTAGTAACATTGCATCCATACCCTCTTATTGTATTTTTTTTTTTTCAAAGAATTTGTGTGTTTCTGTCTTGACAGTTTCGCAGTTGCATGCCATCTTATTTTTTCTGACAGCCAGGTATTAATCAAACCAAGACCATGCAGTGTATGTCATACGGAAGTATCTGGGAGGAAAAAGGCGCAGTCGTATTGCTATACATCCGGTACTGAGTACAGTTGCTTTGAGGAGAGAATAACTGGAAGTGACTGGAATTCTCAGAATTGGAAATGGTCTTAGCATAGTGGGGGGAGGGAGGAAATCTTTGCTTTCAGCCAGGGCAGTCTTTTGTTCCCTTCTATGGAGCTTGGCTAAAATTTTCAAAAGTTCCTAAGTGATTTCTGCTACTAAGTCCTTGGGCCCAGGTAGTGTGGCGTTTCCCATAAGATATTCTGAATGGCAGAGCTTTCAAATAGTTGACGGATCTTAGTCGCGTGCAAACCTTGTGTGGTTTATCCTTGATTAGTTTGTCTATAGTTTCCTGGAATCTAATTACTTTTCTTTATTTTTTAAATCTATAGTAGAACATAATCCCTCCAGTCCAGTTAGTGGGCGGCTAAGTGGCTTAGGGATTGCACCCAGAGAGTGGTGGTGGATGGGTCGTTCTCGGCCTGGAAGGAGGTGGGCACTGGGGTCCCGCAGGGTTTGGTCCTTGGACCGGTGTTATTTAATATCTTCTTCAGCGATTTGGACGAGGGTGTGGTGAGCACCCTTTCCAAGTTCGCAGATGATACCAAGTTATGGGGCAGAATTAACACACCAGAGGGCAGGGAGCAGATACAGGTCAACCTGGACAGGTTGGATCAGTGGGTGGAGCAAAATAGGATGCAGTTCAACAAAGATAAATGTAAGGTACTCCACCTAGGAAGGAGGAATCCCCAATACACCTACAGGTTGGGGGATGTCCTCAGGAGCTCAGAGGCTGAGAGAGATCTTGGAGTCATAGTTGACTCCAAGATGAAAATGGGCCGGGAGTGTAATGAGGCCATCAACAAAGCCAATCGCACTTTGTCGTGTAGTAGCAGATGCATGACCAACAGATCAAGGGAGGTGATTCTCCCCCTCTATGCGGCATTGGTCAGGCCACAGTTGGAGTACTGTGTCCAGTTTTGGGCACCGCACTTCAAGAGGGACATGGAGAATCTGGAGAGGGTTCAGAGGAGGGCCAGTCGCATGACTAGTGGTCTCCATGAAAGACCCTATGAGGGGAGGTTGAGAGATCTGGATCTCTTCAGCCTTTACAAAAGACGGCTGAGGGGTGACTTTGTAGCCGCCTATAAGTTTATCAAGGGAGGACAACAGGGAATTGGTGATGCGCTATTTACCAGAGCGCCCCAGGCAGTAACTAGGAATAGTGGGTGCAAAGTAGTGGAGAGTAGATTTAGGTTAGACATTAGGAAGACATTTTTTACTGTAAGGGTGGCCAGAATCAGAAATGGGCTTCCTAGAGAGGTAGTACTATCACCTAACTTGGAGGTCTTCAAGAGGAGGCTTGACAGTCACCTGGCTGGGGCCGTTTGACCTTGGTTCTCTTTCCTGCCAGGGGCAGGGATTCAGACACAATGATCCATTGTGGTCCCTTCTGACTATATAATCTGTGAGTCTGCAATGTGGCCCACAATTCTTGAAACTTAACATTATCCTGTCAGCAAATGTCTGTGAAACCTTAATGTCCCATCTCCTTTTAGTGTTGGTCCATAGAGAGAATGTCAGAATGCTGTTGTTAGATACTCCATTAGCTCAAGTGGCAGATGCCAGTGGAGTGGATCTAACTCTGGTTCCAACCCTGTTGATGGTGTATATTGGTGCCAATTTGGTATGATTTTTTTTTTTCAGCCTGTTGTTTAAAACAACATTGAAGGAACATCAGGGTTGCAAAGTAGAGCCCTCTAAAAATTAAGAAATGTCAGAATTGACATTTTTATTTACATTATTTTATTTTATCATAAAGATTGTACACAAAGCATCCAAACGAAGGTTCTATCTTGTATAAGACGTATTCTCATTTGAGTGCTTGAGTTCACAACTTCAGTGATGTTTTTAACATGTTTTGGGTGTGTAATTAAGCTCTCTCTAGTACAGGGGTCAGCAGTGTTTTTGGGCAGAGTGCCAAAAGCACCCCAACCTTGACTTGTAAGATGTTGGCGTGCCAGGGGCAGATGGCGAGGGAACTGCAAGAGGCTTGATCCTTGTTGTGACAGTGCAGCCCCGGTCCCTTCCCCACTGTCTGCCCTGAGGTGTGTATGCCAAGCAAAATGCCTTTGTATGACATGCTCTGGCATGCATGCTGGGGGTTGCCAACCTTTGCTTAGTATCTCTGAGTCATACTGGCCATGTCTACATGAGTGGCCAACTGTGCAGTTGTTACCACGTTCATTTAGTACTTTCTTTACCAAGTACTAAATGACTGTGCAGTAACCAGTGTGCAATCCCATTGCCACGCAGTTATTTTCCGACACTACTGCGCAGTAGGCCTGTGTGAAGCGACTAGTGTTCGCTTTGGATTCGGCCATTCGGGGGCAGTGATTCAATTCGGTGAATCACTGTCCCAAATTGATTCGGCGCCATCTCCCACCCACTCTCAATGGTTGCTCTGCCTGTTCTCCCAGCTCTTTTAAAAAAAAAAAAAAAAAAAAAAAGCCTGCACTCACTGGCTGCTGCCGGGGAGTGCGCAATTGCCTGCTGCCTTCTAGGGGCCAGGCTAGACTGGGGGGCACAGCCCAGGGGCAGGGGCAGCAGAACGCAGACTGTGACCCTGCCTGTGTTCTCCCAACTCTGCCCCTGGTGCCTGCCATGGTGCTGGGACCTATGACTGCTTGGGAGAGCCCAGAGCAGCAACATAATGTTAAAAAAAAACCAAAAAACTTCCCTGCACTCCTCCTGGCATGCCAGGAAAAATGTCTCTGCGTGCCTCTAATTGGCACATGTGCCGGGGGTTGCCGATCCCTGTGCTAGTGTGATCACTGACGTTTTTGCAAGAGGCAGCCATTTCAATTAATCTTAACTGTTTTCACCATTCAGTCTACCTGTTCCTGTCAGATCCAGAAAGAGGTCTTTTACTGGTGATATCACGCATGAAACAGCTTTCTAATCTGCAACTCCAGGATGGGTCATTGTTAGGATAAAAGATAGTGGTCTACTTAAATCATGGGGGTGCTTACCAATTGTTGTGGGTTGATCACAGCATAGAGTTCTAATTCTGTGGTCATTTTGCAGGGCAGGGCCAGGGCCTGGGTAAGTACTGTGCAGGACTGCTGCACAGAGCAGATGGATGTCCCATCCCACCCTGGCAGGGGCAGTGCTGGACACTTGGAGCTGGGTCTGGGAAGCATGAGTTGAAGCAGACACAGGGGGAGGTGCCACAGGCAGCCCAACCCAGCTGGGCCCTTAAAAAGTTGGGGGCTGGGTGGGAAGTGGGGGCTGCCCTGGGCTTCCCCAGACTTGAGCGGCTGGCGGCACCCAAGATAGGCCCGGCCTGGCCCACGCAGCTCCATGGGCATGGGGCACAGCCACCCTGCCTGCAAGGGGACACCACCTGGGTTGAGGCAGGACACTGGGCACAATGTGAGCAGGGTGGAGCCAGCCACCCCTGGTGCAAGGGCCTGGCTGCAAGAGCTCCCAAGAACAGCTGCCATGGGTGTGCCATGCCTGTGCCCCAGCCTTGCCCACCTGCAGCTCCTCTCCTGGGACTGGGGCCAGGGTTGGTGCAGGCACTGTGCAGAGTTTCTACACTGTAGGCTCGTGGCCAACTTGGCCCTGAGCACTGCCTGTGGCCGCTGTTCCCAAAGCCTGAGGGGCTTCCATCACGGCCCAAGGACACAGGCCGAGCCAAAAGCCCCCCAAGCCTGGTGTCATGCCCCAGCCAGGTGGTGTCCCTTTGCAGGCAGGGTGGCTGTGTCCCATCTCTGAAGCTGCACGGGCCAGGCCAGACCAGGCCCCACCTCGGGTGCTGTTAGGTACACCCACCTGCCATGGCCTGAGTCTGAAGAGCCCCAAGGCAGCCTCCACTTCCTGACTGGCCCCCACTCTCCTCCGGTTGCCACCTTTCCAGGGGCCCAGCCAGGCCAGCCTATCCACAGCACCTTCCCCCTGCACTTGCTTTTCCCTGCACCACCTGGGCCCTCCCTCTCAGCCCTGCACCCAGGCCCCGCCCTACTCTGGGGCCATCCGAGAGGCCTGAGCGCCCTGGACATGGACCTGGACCTGGCCCTGGCAGCTGCTGCTGGGGTGTCACTGCCTCCCTTCATGGGACACTGCTCTGGACTAGAAGACCCAAGCCACAGCGGTGGGAGACATGGGCAGTGAAGGACATACCATCTTTCTTTTTCCTTTTTCCTCTCTCTTTCTTTCTCTCTTTCCC